CAAATGAATACAAGTTACTAAAATGGAAGGGGAGACGGTGGGTGCAGAGGTAGAGAGAACATAGTCTGATCCAGACACCAAAAACAGTTCAGCTTGCAGGATGAGAAAGAGAAGAGATGGATGAGGGGAGACGGGCAGGGCAGCCAGGAGGTGGCCGACAGGAGGTCATCCAGCACCCCACAGCTTGAGCCTGGAGCTACAATTGTCAAAGGTCATCTTGGCTGCAGTGTAAACTATGGCTTGAGAAGAGCAAGACTGAACGCCAAGAGGGCAGTTAGGGACTATCGCTGTAGTGCAGGGCGGAGATGGTTGTGGCCTGATCTAGAAGCACGCCAGGAGGGTTTGGAGAGGCAGGGACAGATCAAGGATTATTTTTTATGTGATGTTGATATGGGACAGCCCTCAACATTTGTTGCTTAGTGGGAAAAAGAACCTTCTGCTCAGATGTTGTTGGTTGCCGTCTGGTTGGCTGCAACCCATGGTGACCTTATTGTGTAACAGAAGGAAACACGGCCTGGTCCTGCATCACCTTCTTGATTGTGGGTGTGCAGTGTAGTAAATGACTTAGTATGGCTTTTCTACCCACAAGTCATTGTAAACTCAACGGTGGAATGAGCAACTGAGGAGCTCCTGATTGTAAATGCTATCCACCTGGGTTATTTCTGTTGGGCGTGGCACACGTAATGTTATGGGAGGCTCTCTCTCAGGTGCTTAGAGTTCTGATGTTGTGATTGGCTAGTTTGGCCACTCTGCCAAGCTCAAAAGGAGGCCTTCTAGAGACAGAACTCTCTCTCTCTCTCTCTCTCTCTCTGACTGCTGGTTGAGGAAGACCTGCTGCTGAAAGAGACACGGGCTTCTGAGACACGTGTTGCTGGAAAAGAGATGCAAGAGACACGTGTTGCTGTGTAAGACATGGAGGGACATGCACTGCTGGGGGAGAGACTGTGAGAGACTTGGCTGAGAGACGGTGGGCTGGGAGAGAGACTGAGTGTTTTTTCCTGAACTTGAATTGTAGCCTGTTGCTTCCCTAATAAACCCCATAATCTGTGAGTTCTGTGTGGTCACTGCAGTGAATTATCAAACCCAGGAGAGAGATGGTGGGTGCTTTGGGAGGAACAGTTGGAGAAAGGGCTGGAGGAAGGCAGCATGTCTGGCCTTGTAGGAATAGGCCTTGGGTTACTGCTGGTAATCCTGTCTTCCTCTTGTAGGGTTAGAGGAGTCAGAACATGTGGCCTCCTTGCCGTTTTTGCAGGGTGGCCATTGTGTCAGCCCATCTCCTTGAGGGTTTCCCTGACCATTGACTTCACCAAACATGATGTCCCTTTCTAGGTATTGATCTTTCTTAATGATGTGTCCAAAGTCAGCAAGAGCAAGTCTCACCACCCTCTCTTGTAGGAGCGTTATGGCTGTACTTCCTCTAGGACAGATCCGTTTGTTCTTCTGGTGGTCTGTGGCACATTCAGCATTCTTCAACACCACAATGTGCATAATCCATTCTTCTGTCTTCTTTTTATTATTATTGTCCAGCCTTCACATGCATATGGTGTGATTGCAAAGACCATGGCTTGGATCAGGTATGCCTTAGTCATTATATGTGTTTTTAAGGCAAATATATACAGGCATACCTTGGAGCTACTGTGGGTTCAGGTTCAGACCACCGCAATAAAGCAAATATTGTAGTAAAGCAAGTCACAAGAATTTTTTGGCTTCCCAGGCATATAAAAGTTATGCTTACCCTATATTGTAGTCTATTGAGTGTGCAACAGCATTGTGAAAAGTTTGAAATATTGTGAGAATGACCAAAATGTGACACAAAGACACAGACAGCACATGCCATAGGGAAAAATGGCACCAGGAGACAGGCCTGATGCAGGGTTGCCACAAACCTTCAGTCTGTAAAAAACACACCACCCGTGAAGCACAATAAAGTGGGCACAGTAAAACGAGGTCTCTCAGACATTTGTGAGCTTTCATGAGTGGCTGTCTCTCGGCGTAACACTGGGGCAGCAGGGGCAAGGTAGAAGAGCTTCCTTTCCCTGGACAGCTGGATGCTTTTTCAACTGTGAACTGTGTGATGCGTTACCTAATCAAGACTCATTGTTTTTCTCAGGATGTATTTAGGGAATGGAATCCCTAAGGCTTATGCTTTGCCGGCAAATGCTGAGGTGGATGCCAGGGCTCAGGCAGCTTTGCCTGTCATGCTTCCACAGGCTTCCGCAGGTTGGGGACATGGTGGAGGTGCAGGTTTGCTGAGGATGGAGAGCTGCTCCACTGGAAAATGTTGAATTTCCAAACCCAACCTAACCCAACCCAACCCAACCCAACCCAACCAAGCCCACTGCTGTTACATCAAGTTTAAGTATTGTGAAATGCCAGGTAGCATGGATTACACTTCAACAAAAAGAAACTGAAAATCCTCACAACTGGACCAATAAGAAACATCATGATAAATGGAGAAAAGATTGAAGTTGTCAGGGATTTCATTTTACTTGGATCCACAATCAACAACCATAGGAGCAGCAGTCAAGAAATCAGACGTTGTATTGCACTGGGCAAATCTGCTGGAAAAAAGAAAAAAAACAAACAAACAAACAGAAAACCTCTCTAAAGTGTTGAAAAGCAAAGATGCCACTCTGAAGACTCAGAGGCACCTAACCCAAACCACAGTATCTTCAATTTCCTCATGGGCATGTGAAAGCTAGACGATGAGTAAGGAAGACTGAAGAAGAGTCAATGCCTTTGAATCGTGGTGTTGGCAAAGAATACCATGGACTGCAGGAAGGATGAACAGATCTGTCTTGGAAGAAGAGCAGCTGGTATGTTTGTTGGAGGGGAGAATGGCCAGACTTCCTGTCATCTCCTTTGGTCATGTTGTCAGAAAGGATCATTCCCTGGAGATGGATATCTTGCTTGCTAAAGTAGAGGGTCAGAAAAAGAGGGGAAGACCCTCAGCAAGATGGATTGACATAGTAGCTGCAATGATGGGCTCGTGTACAGCGAGGATTATGAGGATGATGCAGGACTGGGCAGTCTGGGCAGCATTTTGTCCTGTTGTACGTGGCATTGCCAAGAGTCGGAGCCGACTTGACAGCACCTAACAACAGCAACAAAATGCCAGGTAGAGCTGTCCAGTAGACAGGTGGCCAGGCCTCTCCAGCCTGGAGGTCAAGAGACAGAGGGGAGCTGGAGACAGGGTGTGGGAGTCCTCAGCATGGGCAAGTCACAGGGCCGTGAAAGGAGCTGGGGCTCCCCAGATGGGGAGGAGAGCAGAGAGCCCGGGTCAGGGCCTCATGGGCCAGAATGTTGAAGGGATTGATATTGATGGAGAACAGTGAGGGTGGTCAGAAACTAGGAACACGTGGTGAGGGGTCGACTACTGTCAGATGCTACGGAGAGGTCAGGCAGGACCAATACTGCCCTGTGACTTGGCTGCAGGGAGATTACTTTGGCAAGGGTGGTATCAGCAACATGGAGAAGGCAAGGGCAACTCACAATGGGTGACGACTCAGCATGAGCCTAGCAGGCAAGGAGGTGACTGCTGAGAAGCCTGGCTCCCAATGGGGAGCAAAATAGCGAGGGCTGACAGGAGTGGTGGGTGCGAGGGAGAAGGTCAACGGCTTCTTCAGAGATGGCAAAGAACCCAGCATCTTTATTTGCTGCCAGGTACAGCTGTGGACAGGGAGAGGCTGAGGACACAGTCATGAGGAATTAAAGGTCCCATGTCAGAGACAGGCAGACAGACACAGACACAGAAAATGGGATCTGGATACAGAGGGGAGTTCAGCTCACACAGGAGTGAAAGTGTTTCCATCATGAAAGGAGGTAAAGAGGGATCCTGGTGACGAACACATGAAACCCCACACCACCTCTGTGTGCTAGTGTGTGTGCATGTAAATGAATCTGTGCACAAGTGTGTGCAAATGTTTGTGCATGTGCATGTGCACACACGTGTGTGCACTAGTGTTTCAGGCGAGTGTGTGCATGAGTGTGCATATATGCACTCATAAGGATTGTGTAGCATATGCATGTGTGTGTGTGTGTGTGTGACTGACTCCCCACACGGCTGTACATTTGTGTGTCCCCAACCCACTCCCCTTTTTGCTAGTCCAGACCACAGGCTTCTTAGAAGCTCTCATGGCCTTGTGGGGAGGGCGATGATAGGGCAGAAAGAAGCAGGAAAGGCTAGGGACCAATAGGGAGGCTGCCCAGGAGCCATTGCAGTGGATGTGCCCTGGACACTGGTTCCCAAGCTCCCTCCCAGAAAGGTGCCCTGCCCTCTGTCATGCTTCCTCCCCACACCTCCTCACAGGGCACAGGGAAGTGAGGAGGAGAGGTAGCTGTGGCAGGAGACACAGGGGCGGCAGGTGGCTGAGGAGCCTCTGGTGATGAAACAGGAGGGTCCCATGGAAGAAACAACAGGACCACTCAAGGCACAAACCAGCACATACTTAAAACCGTACCAGGACGCAAGTGGGATGCTAACACCTCCAGACACTGAGCCTCAGGGAGCACAGAGAAGGAGCTGCCTCCAGGTAGAGGGCTGGGTCTCTGGGTGGAGAGAGTCCTCCAGGGGAGAGGGGACAAAGGAAGAGTCAGCAGCTCCCAGCCACAGCCGGCTCTTCCACACTCTGCCCTATGGAACCAGGCAGGCTTTCAGGCATACCACTCTCTGGTACCCACACGAGGCAGAAAGAGACAAGGCCCAGGAAGTAGTCCACCATCCCTACCGCATGACTGTAGTTGCCTGGCCCAATTGCTCCAAAAGGCACGTCCTCCTCTCAGGTTGTGGGGAATGCAAGAACCCAGAAGCTGGTGGGACCACACTCTGCATTGTTCATCCCCAGAAATGCTGATGGACAGGGGAGGTATGACCTCCAGCAACACACTGTTTACACCATCCATGGCCAACAGTCATGGAAGGTACTCAGTTAAGTAGGTGTCCCCTCTCTGCTCACACCCCAGGCCCACCTGGTCTTAGATAAAGAGTAACAGAGTCCTTGTCATATATGGTAGACTTTATCCTCTCCGACCCTCTCACCAAGTTCTAGCCCCAGGTTCACGTGTCCCAGGGTGTTGCGACGAAGGATCTCCCAGCCACGGTGACTGCTGCTGTGGGAGGTGGTCCGGGACAGGGAAGGCGTGGGCAGGGCCAGTGAGCCTCTGGCCAGAGTCCCATTCTCAGTCACAGAGGGCGATTCCTCTGAAAGCCGCTCTTGTCCATCCTCTTTGTCGGGGCACTTGAAGGCTTCCACGTAGCGAAGCACTCGAAGAGGCTTCTGATCATGGTGGGTCTCCACCCTAGTGGTGAGAGGAAGAGGCAGAAGTGAGTGATTCACAAGGGAGACAGGACACCAAAGCAGTGAGGCAGAGCAGAGTGCGAGCAGGGACAGCATCCAGGGAAGGCAATGGGGTGGTGGGGCAGGCAGCTGGGGAACACGGGAAGGAGATGAGCAACCAGCATCTGGACCAAGGGGTCTCTGTGTAAATGTGAAAGAAAATGGAGCCAGTGAGGAGATACGTGTGTCATGAGGTTGAGGAGAATATGGTTCCAGAAACCCATGTGGAGAGAGAGAAGACAGATGAGGAGCTGAGCATCAGAGTAAAGGAGGAAGCTGGATTCAAGAGGGACTGGAGATGGGGAGGGGAGAAGAAGACTAATGTAGGTTGGGTCACCCATGCACATACCCACAAGGCATGCACATGCTTAAAACACACAGGGCGTGAGGGACACCCATGAGGGACATGTACCCATAAGCCCATCCATGAGGGATACATGTGCACGAGCCCACACATATTACCATGTGACACACACACACAGTCTGGCATTCGCTGCCAGCTTTTCTGTTCCTGTACATCAGCTCCATGGCCCCCCACAATAGGCCATCACAGTGTCACTTCCTAAGGTGATGACCTGGTCTCTACAAGGTCCAGTTTGGAATCTCAAGAAGGGAGAGGAAGGTGAGTCTGTGGACCTGGTGAGGAAGCTGTACCCATGGCCTCAACTCACATACCCATTCCCATGTGCCCTCCCACATGTCACTCACCGCAGGTACCAGCGGTCCCCCAGCCCGTACTCGCGGCCACAGATGCCAGAGCGAGGCCACAGGCAGGGCGGCAGCTTCCGCTCCAGCATCACCGTGGTGGCCACGACCTAAGAAGGAGCCAGAGGCAGAGAGAAAACTCAGAGAAGTGGGCTCCAGAGACCAGAGGCCACTGACAGAGGGAACCAGAGAGCACTTGAGGGTTAGGATGCCAATGGTGAGGATGGTCATCTATCCCACCCCACAGTCTGTCCCTCACCCCATAGTCTATCCCTACCCCACAGTCTGTCTCTCA